ATACAAATGGTGCTCACTGGAGAGTATCCATGGTTGTATAGTTCCTAAGGACACTAATCCACCTTTCAGAGTTAATTTTCACCTTTCTACATCTGTTACAGACAGTTTATGAACCTTAGAGGGCGCTCTTACTATAATTACTGGTATAAGATATACTTTCTTCTTCTTATGCTTAAAAAACCTGTACTTTTCCTAGGTAGGACGCTCCAAAATTCAACTTTCCAAAGAGATTCAGTATTTGGTTAATTTCAACAAAAGTAACTCAAAATGATATGAAGATTGTGGCTAAGGCTTGGAACACCAAGGTGTTGGCAATTGCAATACTGCATCACAAGTTCAAAGCCCAAAACTGAACTACTGAAAGAAAAAAAAAAAAAAACTCAAATATGAAATGAGGATCCCAAACAACTAAAATATGGTAAATACGACCCACAAAAAATGCACATGAATATCCGGCAAAGACCCTAGGTGTGCATGCTACATATGCCAATTTCTCTAATTAAACCAGGGTTGATTGTGTTTTGACGGTTTTCGAATGAAAAAAAGGTTGGGCCAAGGATTTCATTGAATAAGAAGAAATTCCCACCCAACAACATTATCCACATGCTTGGAGGTGAAGGCTTGCTCTGGTTAGGGTGGACAAGCTTCAATGGAGGACCACCCTGTGCAGCTAATATGTTCTCAGCATTGGCCATACTCAACACTCATCTTTGCACTGACACAAGCTTACTCATGTGGCTCTCTTTGGACATGCTCATCAATGGCAGGAGCTCTGTGACCGGGGTGGTGCAAGGGATGATAACTGGCTTGGTCTGCATCACCCCTGGTGCAGGTGAACCATTCTACTCTTCTTTCTTGATATATATTCATGTCTTCATGTATGTATGCATGTGTGAATGTTTAAAGATAAGAGGTATAAAACGGGTCATGTATCATACATTATAACTTCAAGGACCATGTGAAAATGTTTTTATTTTTGAAGGGAACTATATCATAATGAAAAAGAAATCCAGTGAACAGAGTTGGTCTGTAAATTTTCATCATGACTCATTTGAGCATAATGTTAACATTGTCTACACTTCAGGATGAGTATTCTGTGATTCATATGACCATAGAAAAATTACTATTTCAAATTTCCTGAGCATCCATACAATCCATGGACAGTGGTAGAAATTCATGACCATAGGTTTTCTGTGGGCCCATGTATATGTTTTTCCTTTATTTTATGCCCCAATAAAAATAGAAATTTGTTTTTGTCTTAGGTTAAAGGGTTTTGTTTTGTTATCCATTTGTGTTGTGCAGCCTTTAAATAATCAACTCATTCCAATTCCATCTCTTAGCCCCAAAACATAAAACAAAAAGAAATAGTTTTGAACTATGATGTTCTCCAACAATGTTTGAAGGCAAAATTTATCTCCCTTAAGTTTCTTGTTCAATTGCAGGAATAGTAGAACCCTGGGCAGCAGTACTGATGGGTGCAGTCTCAGGGTCCCTGCCATGGTACACCATGATGATGCTCCACCGCAGTTCCTCCCTACTCCAAAAGGTCGATGACCCCCTCAATGTCTCCCACACGCACACCGTCGCTGGTTTCATTGGTGGAATCCTCTCAGGCCTGTTTGCACAACCAAACCTCACTAGTCTATTCTATAATATGGTAGCAACAGACATGGCTTGTTTTATTGCTTCGAGAAAGGGGATTATCGTAAAGGCTTTCATCAAATGGCTATACAAGTTATGGGTGCAGCTTTCATAACAGTGTGGAAACTGGTGGTCACGAGTGCCATATGCCTCGTGATAAACCAGGTTGTGCCTTTGAGGATGGCCGAGGTAAAGTTCAAGGTTGGAGATGATGCTGTGCATGGGGAGGAAGCCTATTGTGGGATGATGGGGAGAAGACTAGCTTCATTCAATGGTCGACTGGAAACTGCATAATGGGAGATTGATGTCCGTTTTTGTTTATAACAGTCTTTTCTTCTTAGCTATCATATGTCTCCATTGTAGATGAGTTACATAATGAATATAAGAATTCAAGATGTTATGTTGTAGCACCTCACCACCCTGACCATTTAGTCTTGAGTGCATTGCTAATCCTACTAGCCTCCCCCTTTTCGCGAAACAACGTTGCTACTACTCTCTCTCTCCACAAAAACCAATCATACTCTCCCTGCCTCCCTCTCCACATAAAAACTCAAAATTTGTCACTAATCTTAACATGAAATCAAAAAATAAGAAATATAATAGATGTAAGGAAATAAAATAAACAATTTTAGAACCATACAGTGATTAATTCTCAAATAAATGTAAAGAATAGTTATTTGCCAACTTCAATAATGCATATGTAATAGAGGAAGAGGGCTCATAGAACATAAATAAAATCTTGTGCATTCTAACATATACAATTATTTAGTATGACATAATAGCTTATAACTATCTTTATTAAAATTATTTTCTTATTAGTATGTAGGATATATTCTTAATTTTGTAAAAAATGATAAATATTTTTAATATTTAATTACTCATTAGAAAATCTAGAGATTGCTTATAATCAAATTTTACGATAAAATTCAGTGCAGTTATAAATTAAAATTTTACATTTTTAAAGTTCTTAAAAATAGATAAATTAGTCATAAATGCAATTGAAACCAGACTTTGAGAAAAAAAAATATTATAAAATTGTTCTTATATTTATAATAAGAGTAATGATCCTATGAGACCCTCCCACACCCATGCGTGTAGGATCCCAAATGATCACCATTAAATTTGGTACAGATATCTAAGAAAGTTATCACATGGGTGTGGGACTTGATTTTTCTAAAGATATGTGCCTAATGGTGATCCTTTGGGGTTCTACACACATTGGTGTGGGAGGGTCTCATAGGATCATTACTCTTTAGTATATATGACATATTTTGTTATTAATGATTTAATAAACCATAATGAAAAATCTTGAATCTAAAAAGTTTGAAAGTTTATAATAAATGAATTTTGAAACATAAAAATTTATTGCCAAATGAGATCATTTGATGTGTAATGATTTTGGGGAGGTTTGAAAATTTAAGTGATACCTTTCTATTAATAAATTTAAGTGACCAGCATTGCTTTATAAGACAAAATGTTGGTTGATCAGCAAACAACATACTATCAAATGAATGTAGTTAAGATGATGATATTGAGAAGGGTGATAAGAAAAGAAAGGATAAAATTCAGATTGAATACATTCAAAAAAATTTGGATGTGCCTCAATAGGTAATAAGATAAAAGAAAGTAAACCTACATGGGCTGATTATGTGCAATATTGACCTAATATAAGACCAATTGGAAGTGTGATTTAGTTCAAGTGAAAGGCTTAAAAGGATAAAAGGAATAATTTAAAAAGACAAATGAAAGTGGTATGACCCTCGATAGAGCAATGGCGATACCTTATCGCTGATCCTAAATAACAAGAACAAACTCAGGTGATGATGATGATCAAAGCCCCATTTATAGTGGGGTGAGGTTGGTATAAGGTGTCATTCTTATACTATTGAAGTAAGGTGCGCCTCAAAATTATGCCAAAAAATGCAGTTTTGGTGCCTCAAATCCTTGCAATAATATGAAAATCTATTGTTGGCCCCAATTATGAAATTTAAAGTCAATTAAGCAGATCTATGAATACTTGAAAATATTGAAAATGAATGGTTCAGATAATGTGTTTTTTAGGATTAGAAATCCTTTTGTTTTTCATGTTTATAAATCTTGAGATCAAGATGATCGATTTGAGGATTTTCCAACATAAGAACAACCTTCACTAGTGAGTTTTTTAGGTGCACCTTGGTCGTACCATACAAGGTTGAGACCTTCTATAATTTTTTTTCCTTTATGGTGAGAGTAACATGAGTTTTTGTATAGGGCGTGGTTTGTATAAAGCCGAAGCTCTAAACAATCAAAGTAAAATGCACCTTCAAATAGTATTGATAAATATGGTTTCAATACTGGAAATCTTCGTGATAACCTTAAAATATATTTTTCATCTCTAATTATAAAATTTAAAGCTTAAAAATTAGTATAGATCGAGTATATCTATTAAAACTTAAAAATATTGAAAAATTGACGATAAAAAATTTGTATTACAAGATGCAATATTTCCAAAACTTAAAATCTATTTTTTTTCTTTCTTATATTCATACATCTTGAGGTCGAGATGATCAATTTGAGGATATATGTATATCCAAACAAACTCTTCTAATGAAATACTTGGGGTGCGATTGTTTAGAGGGAAAAGTTTATATAGAGCCGAGGCTCTAAACAATCAAATTTGAGCCTACCCCAAAAAGTTCGAGGTTGTTTTGATGCCCAAATATCTTCAAATTGGTCATCTCAACATCAAGATGCATATACATGAGAAAAAAATAGATTTCAAGTTTTGGCAATAGTGTATTTTGTAACGCATTTTTAGAGCGTCAATTTTCAAGATGTTCATGTTTTTATAGATCTGTCGACACTATTTTCGAAGCTTTGAACTTTATAAGTAAATATGAAAATATATTTTAAGGCTATCACAAAGATTTCCAGTAGTAAAACCATATTTTTCGATACTATTTGAAGATAGCCTCTAATTTGATTGTTTAGAGCCTAGGCTCTATACAAACCGCACCCTCGTTTAGAGCCACGCACTTGTTTTATTGAAAATAATTAAATAAGAGTGTGGTTTGCACAGTGCCTAGGCTCTAAACAATAAAATTAGAGCCTACTTTTAAATAGTATCGAGAAACGCTTGAAATCCATTTTTTTTCATGACTACGCATCTTGACGTCCAAATGATCAATTATAGGATATTTGGACATCAAAACAAGAGTGAAATTTTTTTTTACGTAGGCTCTTATTTGGTTGTTTAGAGCCTCGGCTCTGTATAAACTTTTCACATTAAAATAATGCATTTCTTTTTTTGGTGGGGGAAGTTGGATCTTTAAAAGGGGTAAGCGTTATTGGCCGGGAAACTTTTGAAACTCGGAGGGAAATGGGGTGAGAGAGAGAGAGGGAAATGGAGTGAAGCAGAGAAAGAGCCTGAAAGATACAGGGTTCGAGAGAGAATGGCGGGCCTTTATGGGCTCCTGCAAGACATTGGGGAGTGTATCACCCGCAAAAGCAAAAGCGACGACCCCTCCTCCCCTCATTCTGATGACTTCTCCGTTGAGAGCAGATTTCGTTCTGTGCTCCCCAATCTCCTCCATGCTTTTGTCCTCCCTTCCAAGACAGGTCTCTCTCTTTTCGTTGATCATCATCATCAAAATCCTGTTTGTCGTTGACAACATTATCATCATCTTCTTAGTTTTTTGTGTTTCTTTAACTCTTGCTCTGTTTTTTCTTTCCAGAAAATGAAAGGGAGCTAACTGCCATTTTAAAGCTAATTACTCACATCTGCAAGAATTACCCTGGTGTCTTCTTCAATGGTAAGGCTTCTGCTGTTCTTCCCATACTCGGACGCGTTATTCCCTTATTTGCGGAGCCATCTTTCTGGTAAGGTAACCTTGCATTTTAATGTTCTTCTTTTTCAAGTATCTTTCTTACTTTTCTAGTTAGCTTTAGTTCCATTAACTTTTGTAAATTGATGGTAAGTCCATTTTTAATTGACGTAAGTAAATGTATTACTAATTCGATCTCTCTGATTATGTACTGTAAGTAAATGTATCGCTAATTTGATTTCTCTGATTATGAATTTTGTTCCAAACATGGACTTTTTATTGGGATTCCTGTTTGGGTGGTGAGTATACTGCTCCGTTCATTTCTCTGATTATTATTTTTGTTCTAGATCTTATGTACTTATGCTTGGATATCTGTTTGGATGGTTAAATTATGGGATATTTGTCAAACGACACTGAAATATCATCTACTTAACATTTCACCCATTCATCAAACTACACTTAACATATCAACTATTCCAACTCATGACTCATGACTATGTGTTGTTGATGGGCTTCTTTAAATTAAATCTGGGATGGATAAGATCTTAAAATATTTTCTCTTTGTGATTTTTATGAATTTCCATTATTTGCAAGTTTACAAACTCAGTAGAATTATGCATCTTGTTCCAACATGGTGATTTGTGTTTCGTTTTTCTCCTTCCCTGAGAATATCATATTCTTTTGAGAAGATAGTGGATACTGGATAATGATATGGTTGGAAACATGATGCTTTTCTATTCTGTGCACTTGGGAATCAGTTGAGTTGAGTTATGATTTTTTAGTAAGCAAATCACTATTGATATGCTCTTGATCTCATATTGTATGCATGCGTATAAAGTTATAATTGCAAAGAAAGGAAAAAGCTATATTTATATATCACTTATTACTCAAATCAATACATAAAATATTAGGGTAAATCGCGAGGTAAAAAATAAGGAGAAATCACAGGGATGAGAAATGAAAGGAATATCGCATCCAATCCTCTAACAATTCCGTTATGTATCTTGCAACTCCTTATTCAAGGTTTTGTTTGTGATGAACAAAGTGGAACTCCCATATTTTAGTAATAGCCTTTAAAGAAATTATGGGTGGAACTCTCCAACAGAATGTTTTCCATCACCTCAGTGAAAGCCAATTCATTCACATACAACTTATCAACAAGTGAAATTTTTTGTGAGACACATTAACAAAAAGAAACAAAATGAGAAAAAGTTACCAAACTACCTATATGCTCTATCAAACTGCCATGAGAATAATGATACATCAATGCTATCCCTTGAGTTGGGCAATAAATGTCATTCTTCCCTGCCTGCTTGTAAAAAAAGGGAATCTAATACATGCAATAACTAGTGGCTAAGGAGAATCTAACACCCATGTTTTGCTTTAATGTTTCATTCCGTTTCTTAGTTTTTCCATGTGCAATCTGATGTATGCTGCAATTTAGGAATGGTTTCATTTGTCACTTATGTTGATCTGCATGTGTAGTGTATGTGAATATGGTCAACATAAATAACTGCTCGAATACAAAAGAATAAAAGATAAAACAATTTATGATGTTGTTTTACATCTATCACATCCCAAAATATATGCTTGAGAAAATGTCAAATTTAAATATGATGAGGCGATCGTAGTTTTTTGTTATGTGGATTAGATGGATTGTTGATTTGAGTACTGCCGAATTACTTATCAAAACACCTAGATCGTTTGTCAAAGTGGAAGGAGGGAACATTTTACTGTTTTAACGAGGCTGCCAATTGGGCCTGCTGGTCCATGGGCTTTTAGATCGGACCCAGTTCAGCCACAGAAGAAGGCCTCCTAGGCACGGCCCAGGCAGGGGCTGGTATGCCCGAATTGTTTTCAGGTCCGACCCGGGCCAGCCCAGGACAAGCCCAAAAATATATTTGAGATATATTTATATATTAACAAATGTATTTATTATTAAATATATATGTCTACATACTTATTTAGAGCCTGACTCAAATTTCTTTGGACGGGCCTGGCTTAGATAGCTATGTCCTCACAATTTCAGGCTGGGTCTGGACAGGCCTGAGCCCGTCCTGGTGGCAGCCCTGACTTTGAGTCACCTTGAGATCAGCACTGAAAGAATATTTTTGGGGTCAGGAATGCCAACTATGGGATCCTGCAACTAAGGTGCTGGGAACAAGAGGTTAAGATTGGGTTTGAAGTTGAGCACAAAAATTCCCTCGGCTCTTTATTTGTGGAGTGGGATTAACTGAATTCAATTAAATGATTAGATGGTGAAGATGGTTTCACTGAAACTGTGACAGATTGTAGATGTTTAGTGTAATCTTAAATACCAAAAGGGTATCTCATAGTTTTGAAGATGGAGCCAGGCATAGGGGGGTGCTGACGAGATTATGGTTGCATTGGGTCATAGATTTGTCAATCTTGATTGGTTGGCATCTTGGAGATGCTTTGCTTTTCATCAGGCAGGTGCTTGACTGAGATGCTTTGACCTGTATAATTGGCTTTTCTAGTTGCTTCACAAGTCTCATGTTTATTGTCAAAAAACAAAAACTACTCGACTAAGTGGATGGGAGGCATGATGTTGAAGCAGTTGCCCATTTTCCTACTAAGTGGATGGGAGGCATGATGTTGAAGCATGTACGAGTTCTCGAAGTTCAGATTAGGCAGCTATGTGCAAAAGATGAGCTATACTACCTACCTTTCAATCTCAGTTGCCAAGCCATTGAGAACTTTGAAATTAAATTTGCCAAACTTCAAGAAAATATTTGTGTTTTCTTTCTTTGTAACGCCAAAGAGGGTGCTTGACTATGTGTTTTGATCTCTTCTTGCATAACTAGAGCTCTAACAACATGTTTGGGCATGTTTTTTATTTCTAAAGAAATTTCAAATTGCTGGTGTTCTCTCTTCATAGGCCTTAAAAGCTGCTTCATAAGAAATAATAATCTTTCTAGCTTTCTCACAATTCTTTGATTTTAGATTTGTCATTCTTCTGTTTTATGACCATAAGCTCTTCCTAATCATTCAATGATATTCAGCTCTCATCATCATGCAATTTTCGAGACTGTTACTTCCCTCTTGTCCTTGCTCCGTACTGGAGAAAGGGAAGCTTACCGCCAGTTTTTCTTGGACTCTATGTTGCTTCTTGAAGGTATGGTTTGGAATTGGCCAATCTGAAGCATCACTCAGTAATACGTTTTATTTTCCCAAATTTTTTCATTTTTGTCTATTGCTTCTGCAAAACCTGACCTGCCTCATATTTTTGCAGATCTTTTGTCAGTGGCATCATTTTATGCAGAAAAATCGAACTTCACGGCTTCCACTACTTTGTCAATAACATGTTTCTGTGAATCTTTTTATGAGATTTCTAGTGCTCCAGCTCTTTTCTGCGACCTTCCACCTTGTTGCAAACCAGCAGGTGGTCATGGTATTCTGGTGGACGTCACAGATGAACCACGGTGGCAGCCTTTCTCAATTTGGACTATCAAGATTCTTAGCAAGTGCCTCACAGAAGGCACTCTACATGTGGAAGGGCTCATCAGTCCTTCATTTATGTTGAGTGCATGTAACTTGCTATGTTATGGAGGTGCTGATTTGCATATGGTGAGCTAGTTGCCACTGAGAAATATGTTACTCAATTTTATATCCTTCATTTGTTATTTAAGAAAGGTGGTAGACTAGTTGGTGGATTATCTAATTCAATATCAGCTCGTAATATTTCAATGTTTTCTTTGTGCAAGTCCTGTTTTGACTTTGCACGTACTGCCGCAGCAGTACTGGATGCAGAACTTATTCCTGTTGAGAAGCTTATCCTATCAATAGCATCCATCTTGGCTCAAGATATCCAGAAGCTTTCAACATTCAGGTACACTTTTGAAACTGGGTTTGCTATTTCTGGCTGCCCAAACTCTTTTCTTCATTCAGCAGTTAATCAGCAAACAAAAAATTCTTCTCGTATAAATAACGTAGTGGGTTCCTTGCAGAAATTGTGTTTATGATTCCACCATTGGTGCTTGCCTAACTGCATTGCACTTTACCTGCCACAAGGATATTGTCGAGAGCACTGCTATGGATTTGCTTAGGGTTTTCCCGCTGACACTTCAGAATACAGAAAGCCCAGAGCTGAAGGTTGAAAATTGTTAACTTCGTGGTTCTTAATCTCGACAAAATATGCCAATGTTTTACAAATTCACTATTAATTTTTGATTGGGTTCCTTAGCAATTTCCATGATTCTCTTGTCCAACTACTGTGCAATTTGTAATATGTTTTTCAGGTTGCTCTATGCAGTGCTTATACACGAATTGTCAAAACATGTCATCCGAACATTTGGGGGCCAGAATCTCTTCTGAAAATATTATCCTATTCTAAACCTTGTTTAGAACTGGTTGATTGCATTCAAGTGGTGATAAATTCACTTGGACCTTTTAACTCTGGAGGGAAATTTGACAATGGTAGTATGCAGGCTTCATGGTCCGCTTCATGTGACAGGGAATTGGAGACTGTCAGTGTGGGTGAGAAGAGAGTTGCTCACAGTAACATTGACAACTTAAAAAGTAAGAGGCAGAGAATAGAGAAAGACGGCTTGCTTTCTGATGTTAACTTTCGAATTGGTGATGAAAACCATCCTACAGAAGACCTTCCACGTATTTCACACTTACCAAATATCATAAGTTCTGCATTTGATTCAGACAAAATATCATATGCAAATTACTGGAGAGGCATGCTTATTGAGTTTATTGGTCTTTTAAACTCTGGTGAATTAGAAAATAGGCCTTTAACACGAGAGAATGCTGTAATGGCTCTTAGCATACTTTGCATTGTATTCAGTAACGATCCCTACAGTACCTTGACTGTCCAAATCTTTCAGCAAGTGCTGGAGTGGATACCTTGGATATTTGAGCAGGTATGCGAACATGGCAGACCATATTGTCATTTTTCTGTTGAAATACTTCCTTTTTGTTTTTTGTTTTAATACCTTTAAAGTTTGTTTTTCAATAAATTTCTTGAAACTTTTGTTTCAGGCAATGGAAATAAATTGGTCCATATTCGATTTGTCCATCTATCTAGAAGCAGCTTATAATGTGTTGCTACTACAAAGTGAGCCAGTCGCCTATTCTTATTTTCTGTTCTAATTGTGTAGTACTCAAATGCATAACAGTTGAAGTTCCTGCTATGTTCTTCTACCAAGATTCGTTGTTTGTTGAATGTAGGTTTCCATCCCAAGGATATGAAGCCAATGAAAGATGGTGGTCATGGTTCTATTCCTAGTCTCTATTCCTACAACCTGCAGCTTTTACAATTGTTAAAACTTCCTTGGACACAATCTCATTTGGTTAATCAGGTTTATCCTCTATGGAAAGCAAAGTGCCTCTCTGTTAAAGTCCTCTCCTTGATGGGCATCAGACCAGATCTTGATATTTTGGACCTGGCATTGCAAGACAATTATGAGGAGGTTAGAGTTGAAGCTGTTACTTCTATCCCAGTCTTTTTGTTATGCTTCAATCCGGATCAAATATCTTATGTATGCAGAAAAATAGAGTAAGTGAAAACTGAAATTGACTCATTTTTTGTGATTTTAAGTCCTTGGAGTCCATGTTGGATGGCTGATTTCTATATGGCATTGGTCGATGTTCCTTGAGCCTTTTACTTCACCTGGGGTAGAACTCCTTACAAAGACCGATTTCTTTGATTGCTATTTCTGTATTGTCTGATTCATGAGATTTGTTTAATGATTCTCATTGGTGCCTAACATAACATGTGGCATTGGCAATTAATACTCCTTTTAGCTTACTTCTATTTACTCCATCTTTTCTCCTGTCTACTGTAACATTGGGGTATCTTGGGTGTTTAACTGAGAGCCAGGCCTTAAACTTCCAATTGTCTTTTCACAGAGGCATCATTTAGATAAAGGTGCCTGAAACCAGCTGTTATTTATACAGTTTTTCCTCTCAATCTCTTTCTCTTCCTCGTTTTATTTTTTTATTTTTTATTTCTTTTTTGTGTGATGGCTTTTCTGTGCTATCACCTTGTCCACTTACACAATATCCTCAGCCACCTTCATGTTTTCACTTTTCAGGCACTTCAGCCCTTATGATCCTCTTGACCTTGCTCCTTTGATCCAAATTAGCTGAGTTTTGGTACTCTTTCCTCCAAAACATTGGCCAAAGGGGTATCTTACATTCTTATTCCATACATGCATTTTATAGGATTCCTTTGGTGTTTTCTTTAGGATGGTTAGCTGTAGAATTCAAACCTTGCGATGTTTACTAGGGCTCTCAATTCACTATCAACCGAGCCAAGATCCTGGCTTTCAATTATGATAATGTTTAGTTTACCTTAGAATGATATCCATATTCTTGTGATCAAAGGCATCTATTTGATTGCAGTACTACATTAAGGAATAAGAAGATTGTGAAGTATTTTCTTGCATTTTGTGGTGCAACTTCAACATGATGTGCTGATAATAGCTGTTCGAGAGTGTGGAGAACTCTTGTGCATATTTTAAGTCACTAGGAACAAAAAAAATGTTCATTGCACCTGGTTGCTGTTGCAATTCTGTGGTAGTTAATGGGGTTATCCTTTCCTTTGAGGCTGGTCAGACCTCCAAGTTGAGGTCTTTTATGATCAGATGTCTTATCATTATTATAATTATTTTTTGCAACAAATCTATATTTTATATAGTATTCTCTCTTTATTTCTTTCCTGAAATAATGTGGTATTGTCATCTACCTGAAAATCCTCTCTTTTATGGCTGAATCCTGGTCTGGTGTTTGTATCTTCTAACTTCTTTCTTGCATTTAACTAGGGTCTTAGGGCAAGACAAGTCTGACAAAGTAAATCAAGGTTTAGCCAATACAATTGGGTATATATCATGTCTTTATGGTTCTCTCTGCAATGCTGGATCCATGAAGGACAACAGTTCATGTAAGCTTTATGTAGAAGTTGGCAGAGGGAAGCAGAGTCAAACTTCAGAGTTTCTTTCCCAACGATTTTGGTGTCCCCAATGTGGCATCGGATCTCCATATGACCAAGAAAAGTTTCTTAATAGTAGATACCTTTCCCAGGTGCAATGCATAGATGATGGCTTTGAATTTGAGTTTGGAAAGATTCTGAAGCTCTTCTTTAAGCTTCTTCTGGAAGAATCATCAGAAGAAGTCCAAGTTGCATGTGTGGGAATCACATCTCGGGTTCTGATGCATATGCAAAAAGAAGCATTGACTGAGACAAGGTCTGAATGGATCCAATGCATTGACAAATTACTTCTTCATGATAAGAGGTCCATGAGAGAAGCATTTTGCTCGCAGATCTGTGGCTTCCTTTCAAGCCATGTACTGGACTGTTTATTTTCTGAAGGAAATGAAAACAACAAGACAAAAGAGCAAAGACTTCTTGACAAATTGAAGCATGCTTTGGCAGCAACCGAGGATCCTGGGGTGTTTGAGACTCTACTAGAAACTGCAGCTGAGATCATGAAAGGTGTTGACTTCCATGGGCAGATTTTCTTTTTTGCTCTTGCTTTGTTGCTTGATCAGCTTGATAATCCTCATATCTCCGTGAGAATGACAGCTTCAAGGTTAATACTCAACTCATGCCAATTCCACTGTGGAGGTGGATTTGATTTGATATTTTCTAAGTTCACTAATATTAGGGATGAACTTTTTGAATATCTTTGTTCGAGGCTTGTGAGCCGTCCAGCAATGATCAGAGAGTTTTCAGAGGCAGTTGTGGGGATCAAGATGGTTGATCTTGTCCGGATGATGATCCCTATTGTGCTCCCAAAGCTAGTGGTTTCTCAGAAGGATAATGATCAATCAGTCATTAATCTACATGAGCTAGCGAAGCACTTGGACACAGATTTGCCGCTGTTGCTTTTGGAGTGGTGCCACAAAGTGCTTGCCTTTGTTCTTTTGCAAGCAGATGGGAAAGAGTTGCTCTCTGCTTTGCAGTTTTATGAAATGCAGACTGGGTCTGACACCAGTGAAATTTTTGCAGCTGTTTTACCAGCACTTCTTGATGAGCTTGTACGTTTTCTTGGGGATTCTGATACTAATGAGACCAGCAGGAGGTAATATAAATGGTTTTTATGTTAACTGGAAGTATAATGTTATCACATGGACTATGGAAAGCCATAGTCCATTGAGATCATATGTTCACCACTGTCCATTGAAATGTTGTACAGTAATGGAGACAGTGAGATCCAGCATTGGGTTATATCCTCTGGTGGGTTCCACTCTCTTATCATCTTCTATCATTTTGTTGCTCCATCACTGTCCATCATTTCATTGGACCATCATGACATTAATGGACTGTGTACCCATTGTCCATTTGATTATTTGTTATAATGCACTTTCTCTAAGTGTAGCGGTAATCTTTTCTTATGGCCCTTAATCCTTACTTTGCCCTTTTTGTGTTTTTTTTTCCAGGACTGCACGAGTTCCTCAGATGATCCAAGAAGTTGCTAGTATTGTCACTGGCTCTAATGATCTACCGCAATTTTTGAGGAATCACTTTGTTGGCCTTATTAACAGTATTGACAGAAAAATGCTACGTGTTGATGACCCCCTATTGCAGAAACAAGCTTTGAAATGTATAGAAAAACTTATTGAAATGATAGGTTCTCATCTCAGTACTTATGTACCCAAGATTATGGTTCTTCTAATGCATGCTGTGGAGAAAGAAACCCTTCAGATTGAAGGCCTTAGAGTTTGGCACTGTTTCATCCAACAATTAGCTAAGGTGTCGCCTTTAAATCTGAAACATATAGCTTCTCAAGTAGTGGCTTCTCTTATTCCTTTTCTTGAGCGATATGATGAGAACACGTTGCAGTTGAACAAAGCTGTGGAAATTTTGGAAGAACTTATTGTCTCAAACAGGCATCTATTGGATCGGCATGTTAGGGAACTCCCTTTGTTGCCTAATCTTCCCATACTAAAAGAAGTGAATAAAGTTATCCAAGAGGCACATGGCTCGATGAGTTTAAGAGACCAACTTCGCCATGCTATTGATGGTTTGAACCATGAGAACCTGAATGTAAGGCATATGGTGGCCTCTGAGTTATGCAAGCTACTGAATGTGAGAAGGGAGGATGTCACTGCTATGATATTGGGAGAAGTTGGTTCGGATTTGGATGTCATAAGCTCATTGATTACAGCCTTACTAAAGGGTTGTGCAGAGGAGTCGAGGACGATAGTGGGCCAGAGATTGAAATTGGTTTGTGCAGAGTGTCTTGGAGCTCTTGGGGCAGTTGATCCAGCCAAAGTCAAAGTAGTTTCATGCCGTCGTTTCAAGATTGAATGCTCAGATGATGATTTGATCTTTGAGCTTATAAACAACCATCTTGCCAGGGTTTTTCGAGCTGCCTCTGATACTGTTGTTCAAGATTCGGCTGCATTAGCTATACAAGAGCTTTTGAAGCTTGCAGGGTGCCAAGCTTCATTGGATGGTAATGTTTCTCTCTTTATGTCCCAGCTTTCAAAGAGCAGGGAGTCAGAGAGAGCCTTTACTGAAAAGGATAGTGACTCTTCTGAGATGAACAAGAGAGGTCAGAGACTTTGGGACCGTTTCTCTAACTATATCAAAGAAATAATTGCTCCATGTCTGACCTCGAAGTTTCAGCTTCAGATAGTTAATGAATCAAGCTCAGCTGGCCCCATTTACAAGCCCTCAATGTCATTTCGAAGGTGGATATACTCTTGGATCAGGAAGTTGACCAAAGAAGCAACTGGGTCTCGAGCAAATATTTTCAATGCTTGTCGAGGAATAGTTAGACATGATATGGGTACAGCTATTTACTTGCTCCCATATTTAGTCCTGAATGCAGTTTGCCATGGCACTACTGAGGCACGCCAGAGCATAACCGAGGAGATATTATCCGTTCTCACTGCCGCTGCTTCAGACAACAGTGGGGCAGTTGTTCATGGAGGGCAGAGTGAAGTCTGCATTCAGGCCATCTTCACTTTGCTTGACAATCTAGGTCAATGGGTGGATGATCTTAGACAAGAAGTTGCTCTTTCTCAGTCCCTCCAGTCATCTAATCTGAAGCAACCTTCAAAAAGAAAGGATCAGCCTGATGGTGATCAGTTCGTACTAGTACAGTGCAACAATGTTACTGAGCTCTTGACTGCTGTTCCAGAGGTGACTCTTGCTCGTGCTTCCCTTCGTTGCCAGGCCCATGCCCGATCTCTGTTATACTTTGAGTCACATGTGAGGAAGAAATCGGGATCATTTAATCCGGCGTCTGAGAGAAGTGGGTTATTTGATGATGAAGATATCTCCTTTTTGATGGAGATCTATAGTGGTTTGGATGAGCCTGATGGCCTATTTGGGTTGGCACATCTAAGAACTTCTTCAACCTTGCAGGACCAAATCTTGATCAACGAAAAGGCGGGTAATTGGTCGGAAGCTTTAACTTGCTGTGAGCAAGCCTTGCAAATGGAGCCTGATTCTGTTCAAAGACACTCTGGTGTTCTCAACTGTTTGCTTCATATGTGTCATTTGCAGGCAATGGTTACCCATGTGGATGGATTGATATCTAGGATAACCGAGTACAAGAAAACTTGGTGCATGCAAGGTGTTCAAGCAGCTTGGAGATTAGGGCGATGGGATCTGATGGATGAGTACCTATCTGGAGCTGAACAAGAAGGCCCAGTTTGTAGCACATCTGAGATTAATGTTTCTTTTGATTTGGGTCTTGCTAAGATTCTCCAAGCCCTAAGGAAGAAAGACTCATACTTGGTTGCTGAGAAAATTGCCCAGGCTAGACAAGCTCTATTAGCTCCCATAGCAGCTGCTGGAATGGAGTCTTATATGCGAGCATATCCCTTGATTTTGAAACTGCATATGCTAAGCGAATTGGAGGATTTTTATGCTGTCCTTAGCGACATCTCATTTCTTGAGAAGCCTTTCCATCTCGAAGATCCAAGGTTCTCAAAGCTGATTAAAGAATGGGAGAATCGTTTAAGGCTTACACAGCCCTCGCTTTGGGCTAGGGAGCCATTGTTAGCTCTTCGAAGATTGGTCTTTGGGGCGAGCAATCTCAGAGCTGAAGTGGGAAACTGTTGGCTTCAATATGCGAAGCTATGTCGAGCTGCTGGCCATTATGAAACAGCAAACAGGGCAATTTTAGAAGCTCAATCATCAGGTGCACCAAACGTTCACATGGAAAAGGCTAAGCTTTTGTGGGGTACAAGGAAAACTGACCGTGCCATAGCAGAGCTCCAACAAGTACTACTCCATATGTCAATCGAAGTTTTGGGGAGTGCAGCTAGTTCTTCTATCACTAGTCTCTCTCTCATCCCTCCCAATCATGCTTCAGTCTCAGCTACCCAAGCACTCAATCAAAACCAAGATGCAGCGAAAACCATCCTTCTCTACACAAGGTGGATTCACCATACAGGACAAAAACAGAAGGAGGATGTATTAAGCCTTTATACAAGGGTCAAGGAGCTGCAACCCAAATGGGAAAAAGGTTACTTTTTCATGGCAAAGTATTGTGATGATCTGCTTGTTGATGCCAGGAAGAGGCAGGAAGAGAATCAAGAAGGATTGATGTATGAGCAACGGACCTCAAGGATTGCACCATCAGCCCCTGTTGCTCATGGCAGTGATGAGAAGCCCTGGTGGAATCACCTTCCTGATGTGCTTCTCTTCTATGCAAAAGGGCTCAGAAGGGGCCACAGCCATCTTTTCCAGGCGTTGCCTAGGTTATTAACCCTCTGGTTTGAGTTTGGAAGCAAATATCAAAGAGATGGTTGTGCCTCCAATAAAGATTTAAGGACCGTCCATGTCAGGGTAAGGACGTGCCACTTCTTTTTACCTCTCTATCCCCAGTTGCTGCCTTGATAATTGTAACATTTGTATTTTTAGTCCATGGCTATCAAAGGCACATTTAAAATTAGTTATGTCCTATCCATCATCAACTGCCTTTAAGATTCTATTGTCTGTTTTCTTTAGGTTATGGGTATCATGCGAGGTTGCCTCAAGGATTTGCCTACATATCAGTGGCTCACCGCTCTATCTCAGTTGGTTTCAAGGATTTGTCACCAAAACAATGAAGTTGCTCTGCTGGTCAAGCATATTATAATATCAGTTTTACAGGCATACCCTCAGCAAGCCTTGTGGACCATGGCTGCTGTTTCGAAATCTACAGTGGCGGCTAGGCGTGAAGCTGCAGCCGAGATAATCCAAGGAGCACGTAAAGCAATTTCTCAAGGAAGTGAAGGAAACATTTTGTTTACTCAGTTTGCCGCCTTAATAGATTACCTGATCAAGTTATGCTTCCACAGCGGGCAACCAAAGGCGAAGACAATCAATATTGCCACTGAGTTCAGTGCCTTGAAACGGATGATGCCTGTTGGGATCATAATGCCCATCCAACAAGCTCTTACTCTAACACTGCCGACATATAGCACAATCTTTTCGGACCTTCCGGAGTATGACCCCTTTTCCCATGCAGAACATGCTACCATTGCAGGAATCTCAGATGAAGCAGAGATCCTCTCATCACTCCAGAGGCCAAAGAAGGTATGTACTCTCTCAAAGCAAATGGAATCAAAATTTAAAGCTTAATTTTTTAGAGCCATAGTTCAGCACAATACCTGAATGCAGCGTTCTGAGACACGGCCGAGGTAAATCAGACTCGACTGAGTAACTCGGCCTCGCCCTATAGGCTAGGCGAGTTTTGGGCAACTCGGCTGTACACCACGTTTGTAAACTTTATTTATATTAATACGTCGAATTTAGATCATGTATTTCATTAGGCCTCCGCGGGTATCACTGATATATAAGTTTTAGCGCGTGCGCGCGGGCAGGGATCGAATCCTACAAGTGAAATTGTCTTTTTGAAAGACTGCCATTTTTATGTGGTACAAAATCTTAAAAGCAAATTTTTTTTAAACAATTAGGCCCCCCAAGAATCGACCCTAAATGTCTTGAAGGAGGCAAATCAATGTCACGTGTTGTCACCAATACGCCGTTGACTCTTTCATTGCAAAACTTAGCCCACTTATTATACTTATTACATTTATATCTTTATTTTCTTAAAAAAAAAAAAGAACTAGACTCAGCCGAGTTACTCGGGATCGCCCAAATAACTTACCGAGGCCAAGGCCTGAGTACCTTGGCCGAGTCGATTTTCTAAACACTGCCTGAATGAGTCTTTAAGTTCATTTGGCTGACTTGCCCATGTGAGCATATTTAGGTGACTGGAAATTTTTTTTAGTGATCTGAACATTAGTTTAAGAAATGGGTATAGATGTATTATCGCATAATCTTTTTAGTACTGGAAGTGGAAATTTTGAAACCCATTTGGGGCTATTCCAAAGCTGCACCATAGGGCTTCTTACCAGCTTTTCACTGAGAAGGAAAGAGGCAAGTGGATGATACACATGCAATTAGTTTCCTACACCATCATGTTTTATTTGATAAGCTCATGATCTTTGTCCAACTCCATCACATATGTAAAACTATTAGTAAAACTGTTGTCTATCGCTAATTTTCATCTATCTATACCATCTGTTTCTCTCTCTCTCTCTCTCGTCTCCCTTTGCCTCCCTCTATGTAGTTCTTATATCTTCCACTCATCATCTTTCTTTCTTTTTTTTCCTCTTTCAATTTCTTTTTTATGTTTATTCCCCTAACTATCTTTTCGTATTTCTAGGAAAAGTATAGTTTTTGTATCATTATCATCATGCTATCATCCAAGCCTTATCCCAACTATTTGGGGTTGGCTACACGAAACATGTTCCACTGTTCTACTTTATCAAGGGCCAAAAAGTATCATGTGGCATTTATTTAGTGTATCTTAAAATTACTGAAACATGCTTTTCCCAAATTGCCAGGTTGACTTACCTGATTGCTGAGCTGTTTTCTCTCCACTCACTTGGCCCAACCTGATTCCTAAGTTGCCAAATCGCAAACTTGGCTTTTCAGTTGCTCCTAAGTTTGAATATCTCTGACGTTCAAAAGTATTTTCAGGTAATATTCCATGGTAGCGATGGAATCGACCATCCTTTCCTCTGCAAACCCAAGGATGACCTCCGAAAAGATGCTCGGATGATGGAGTTCACGGCAATGATCAACCGCCTGTTATCCAAATACCCAGAGAGCCGGAGGAGGAAACTGTACATCCGAACCTTTGCAGTAATTCCACTCACGGAGGACTGTGGTATGGTGGAGTGGGTCCCACACACTCGTGGGCTTCGCCAAATCCTCCAAGACATCTACATAGCCTGTGGCAGGTTTGATAGACAAAAGACAAACCCCATGATAAAAAAAATATATGATCAACAAGGCCAAATGCCTGGGGATGAGATGCTTAGAACAAAGATCCTTCCTATGTTCCCTCCTGTTTTCCACAAGTGGTTTCTTAATACTTTCTCTGAGCCAGCTGCCTGGTTCAGGGCACGTGTTGCTTATGCGCACACCACTGCAGTATGGTCCATGGTTGGGCACATTGTGGGGCTTGGTGATAGACATGGGGAGAACATCCTCTTTGATTCCACAACGGGTGACTGTGTTCATGTTGATTTCAGTTGTTTGTTTGATAAAGGCCTCCAATTGGAGAGGCCTGAATTGGTGCCTTTCAGGCTTACCCAGGTGAGCTTTATCTTTTTACTGTCTAGAACTTTTTTTTTATGGGGAACCTTTGCTACAGTGAAATAGACCTTGGATAGTAGATGTCCTTTGGGTCATTGATGGCCATTAAATTGATGAATAGTGATGAAGAGAGTGAGAGCCACCCTCCACAACTTTAATAAGCTGTGATGTTTTGATGTACTATGCTTTTATATAATGTCCATTGGTATATACTGCACCCTCCCTTTTCTATGGGGTGATGATCTTGGTTATAACCACTGGTGACTATGTTACAGAATATGATTGATGGGCTGGGCATCACTGGATATGAGGGTATATTTCTAAGGGTCTGTGAGATCACGCTCTCTGTGTTGAGAACACATAGAGAGACACTTATGAGTGTTCTTGAGACCTTTATTCATGATCCTCTTGTGGAGTGGACAAAGTCTCATAAGTCTAGTGGAGTGGAAGTTCAGAATCCCCATGCACAGGTAGAGGACCAGTGAGGTTTCGATGCTTTATAAGGGGCATCTGTTTCTTTCTAGTTTTCTTTGAGATAATATTGGTTTAAAATTTGAGTTTGACGCTTGATTCTTTTAATACATGTTTGGCTATTGTAATTTGCAGAGAGCCATTAGCAACATCGAAGCTAGGTTGCAAGGAGTTGTAGTGGGTGTTGGAGCTGCTCCATCCTTGCCCCTAGCTGTAGAAGGACAAGCTCACCGACTGATTGCTGAAGCTGTGTCCCACAAAAATCTTGGGAAGATGTATATATGGTGGATGCCTTGGTTTTGATCATATTTTCAAGACCAAGCATGGTATGCTCGCTGTTTTGGTCGCTTTGGGGAAGCATCTTATGAAAATATTTGATTGGAGAACTTTCCATCTGTGCTTCTCATTCTACTCATTATTGTGAAGTGTTGTACATATTGTGACCGTGTTCTCTATAGCAAGTTGCCAATAGACTCGACATTTACAGCATAAAATGTAGATAATGGAGGGAAATGCATTTGTTGCAGACCTCGCTCAAGCTCTGGATGTGTTTGAATATTGAATTACTGCTTATGTGCCTTTGGTCATGAATGCTTCTTGGGAAATACTATGAATACCTGCAATTTTACATCCTTTTCATGGGTTTTTATAATTTGTATTAATGATAGGGAGTCAGTTGCCTTCAAAGGCCTCACCCACTTGAGATTCTTCCCAACTGAAGTGCATATAGATCCAAGGACATCTAAGCTACTCAAGTTCCATCATTTTGAGGGTACATGTGAAATCCACATGCATAAAATGGTGCAATATTTTTATATATTTTTTTTACTTAAACCACTGGATTCCGCTAGTCTTTAGATGGGAAAAAAAGCCAAGAAAGGCCGTTTTAGGCAGCGATTTTAAAAATGCCAAAGTTGGCATGAAATTGCCCCTTGGGAATAAGTATGTTGAGGATTGATTTTTTGTATTTTGAGGAAATAGATTTGTTAAGGTAGAGTAAAAAGGACAATTTGGGACGGTTGTTTAAAAGACTGAAGGGTTTGAGGGCGGGAGGAGTGTTTAGTGCAAGTAGACTCGGTTGATTCGGCCCTTGTGGGGGTTCAGGGGTGGTAGCCCCCGAGGAAAAATTCGAATATATACGTATATGGGATTCGATATATCTAGGACTTGATATATATCCGTACAAGAGTATTTTGGTAATTTGTACCATCTATCTGGGATAGATATATATTGTTGCGATGGGGTTTCTAGGGTCAAGGGAAAAACGTAGATTTTTTGGTGATGAGGGAGAACAGAGAGACGTGAGGAAGATAACTATTGTAACCTTATTCTCCATTGCCAATAAATAAGCTTTTATCTTTTGTGGACGTAGACACGTTGCTGAACTACGTATATTTTTGCGTTGTGGTTGTTTGTCTCTTTCTTTTGTATTAGTTTCTCATTTCTTGTTTTCGTGGATTGTTTATCGTTTTTACAAAGTCATCCCATTCTGATTCTGCATGCATATAAGAAAACAATTGAGTCTAGAAGGGAACCGACAGTTCCGCACAATAAAATGATGACCTGGACTTGCCGATTCACTGATCCGGACCGGTTTTTGGTTGGTTCACAGTTTTTTCACATATTTTTTTGCCAATTCATTGTTTTTTTGCACAGTAATATGAAGATTTGGACTGTCGATTCACCGATCCAGACCAATTTTTGGGGTGGGTGCCCGATTTGGGTCATTGATCTATTTTTTAAATTATTATTTTTAGGCATAATAGTTGTTGGGACTTTTATTTCGATTTCCTGTTCTTGTTTACTTCTTTGGCTTGAATATTTTGTTATTTTATTTCCTTCAAATATATTTAAGAGTAGTAAATACAACTTGAATGATTTGATATTGGTCCTTTGACATTCTCTAGATTAAACAAAGATTAAACATAGAGCCCATGCAAGCAGATTGCGCAAACAAATTGAATGAGTAACTTTTTGTTGCGGTCTCATTCGGATAATATGTTTATCTTAGGAAGTACAAGCTTTGCCACATGTATGGGTTAGTTATACCACATAAATCTCATTAAACATACGGAAATGGAAATGTATGGCCTTTGATAGAATGGAACAGCATAACAGGATTTGTTCAGTCGATCCCAAGTAGTTGGGATAGAGCTCTGATGATGATGAGAAATAGAGATGTATCACTTGCAGTTTGCTGTGCAAGGCTTACAAACCTGCAGGAGGAATTAAGCCACTTCCTAAAGGTTCCCCTTGCACATTGTCCTTAAAACACAAATGAGTCCTAGATGCATATAGAAGACTGTCAAATGCTGAAGCTCTTAGCCAAGTTCAGTTGTGGATTATGTTTACATGGATTTAGGTCAGAGGAATCTCACATTGCAAGTTGCCCCTTCAACAGAAGACCAATGGTTAAGATTACCACTGTCAATATCATAAACACAGCTTCTGTTTAATGTGAAACTTTGCCAATATCATAACACCATCTGAAGTTCGCCTCATGACTATCCCAACAGAAAAGGCTACAACTTTTTAGTGTTCTTCATAGGGGTATCACAGAATTCGACTCCCATCTTGCTCCCCCTCTATTTGTGGTCCTCCCTCTCGTATTCCTCTTATTTCTTCTTTGTAACCTTAGTATTACTCGATTTGTTGACGCTGAAAATTTTAGTTACTCTGCTAAACAATGTTTAGGAAATCGCCTCGGCCAATAAGTAACTTGTCTGAGTATGAGTGGACACCCATTTAAAATGTAGGACAATAAAATAAAAAGTACAAATCTTCTAAAAGATAATAAAAAATAAGAAAACGTATTTAGAGTTAATAGGAATCATTAGAAAGCTAAAGAAGATGAAAAAAATCTACGAAATATGGGCCATCGAAAATTATGATTTATATATTGTATATTTCAAAAAAATAAAAAAGAGAGAAAAAATTTATGAAACATCCCCAAATCAACTTTCAAAATCATTTGAAAATTCATTTCTAAACAATATATCGTAATTCATTTCTATTTTTTTAAATATTTTTTAGCTTTTTTTTTTATTGTTTTCGGGGGACCTTGGTAGAGAGTGAGTTAGGCACCGAACTCGCACCCAACTCGCCTTGCCGGTGAGGCCAAGTTACTTGACTGAATCTGAGTGGACTCAGTCGAATAACAGAAAATGTCTCATCTAAACCCTTTAGATGACCTATTGAGATCTATTTATGTTTTTTACATATGTTTCCCAAACTTTAATAAAAATTCATGCTTAGTTACACAAAGAAAACTCATAATTGATCCTCCATACCCTATACCTTCAAGAAGCCATCCCAGAAAGAATTTGTGTTCCCAATCCCTTCTTTCATGATAAAGAATTGGACATAGTTTCTATGAGTCCCTGGACTCATATGTAGAAATATGGCACTCTTAATAACCTATTTTTTTAAATAAATTTTGAATATAATATTTAAGGCATATACAATTCGTAACATGGAGATTATTAATATGTAAAAAATAAAATTTTAAAAACTAAAAACTATATATTTTAGAAGGAAATATTAGAGCTATTGATTTTACATTTTTCTTGGAGGTACCATCATGGATGGTTTATGCCTCGGGGGAGGTGAATGTAAAACTGTGTACCCCGACACGTAAAATGCTTTGGGAAAGGTTTCTACTTTTTACGTTTCCCCTACACCATAAAAGATATGGAAAAGGTTTATATGCTTTTCCTAAAGCGTAGAAGTTCTATCCTCTCGTTATCCAACCGTCAATTCTGAATGGAATGCTAAGATTTTTTCAATCACAATGTGATATATCTTTATATTATTTTATTTTTAATTTTAATTTTTTATAAACTATTTTGACACAAAATTTTGGACGTCCATTCCTCTATTAAACTCGTACTAGTGAAAAAATAATAATATTGTCAATAAAAAAAGACCAAAATACCCCTAAAAGATTCAAGGGGTATTTTGGTCATTATATTTTATCAAAAAATTATTTTTAATATTTTTATAGATGCACCCCAATGAGAAGATGACACGTACTAAATTTTATATTCATTCAATTTGTATAAAAAAAACTAAAACTAAAATACTTTGAGACGTCAAATCTAAGATCGAACGGTGAGTGGCTCTCTTGATCAAAATTGGACGGCTGGATGGTAGGGGGAGGATAAAACTTCTATGCTGTAGGGGAAGCATAGAAAGCTTGTCCAAAAGATATATGCTTCCCCTCCCATCCAGCCGTCTAATTTAGATAAGTGAGCCACACACCATTTGATCTAGAACCAATGTCTCATGATATTTTATTTTTAGTTTTTTCTATGAATTGTATGAATATAAAATTTAGTAAGTATCATCTTCTCAATGGGGTGCACCTACAAAAAATATTTAATTTTTTTGAGAAAATATAATGACTAAAATACCACTTGAAACTTTTAAAGGTATTTTAGTCATTATAATTTATTGGTAATATTTTTTTATATATTTTTTACAAGTGTGAATTTAGAAAAGGAGTGGACGTCCAAAATTTAGTGTCAAAATAATTTTTAGAAAAAAATAAAAATAAAGTAGTGTAGAGATATGACATTGTGATTAAAATCATCTTAACCGTTCATTTAGAATGCAAGGATGGATAAAAGAAAGCACATAAATTTTATGCCGTACGGGAAGCATAGAAAGCTTGCCAAATGCTTGCTATAATAATAAATTCACACGTACCTTTTCTTCTTTTGTTACGATAAGTTTTCTACATAATTTTCAACGTCGTATTCTTTTATATTCGTTGTCCACATATTTGAGGGGTGTGGTTTGCACAAGATTACATCCTCAACAATCAAAGCAAGACATGCCTCCAAATTTTGTTATAAGATGTAATTTTAGTGTAGAAAATTCTTAGGATGTTTTGAGAATCTATTAACATATCTAATTATAAATTTAGAACTCTAAAATTAGTTTAAATTAAGTAGATCTATAAACACATAATATACTACAAGATAAACCATTTTTTAGATTCGAAATATTTTTATTTATTTATTTTCATACATCTCAATATCATCAATATCAAGATGATCAATTAGAAGGTTTTTTAACATTAAAATAGTTTTTTCCAATAGATTTTTTAAGTGCATCTTAATTCTATCGTTTCAAGTTGTGGGCAAGCTTTTTATGCTTCCCATACAACATAAAACTTATATACTTCCCATAATCCAACTATCCACTCTGAATGGAGGGCTAAGATTGCCCTAATCACAATGTCACGTTTCCACACTATTTTATTTTCATTTTTTTTATAAACTATTTTGACATCAAATTTTATATGTCCAAGTCTCTATTAAACTCACACTAGCGAAAAATATATATAAAAAAATTCTACTAAAATGAAATGATCAAAATACCCCTGAAAGTTTCAAGGGGTATTTTAATCATTATATTTTATTGAATATTTATTTTTAATTTTTTTCTTATAGGTGCACCCCAATGATAATATGACATGTACCAAATTTCATATTTATAAGATTTGTATAAAAAAACCAAAAATAAAATACTTTGAGATGTCCGATCTAAGATCAAACGGTGAGTGACTCTCTTGATCAAAATT